GTGTGTTTCCAAAACATACTCGTTTCCTAATTTTAGAGAAAAAAAACATTTCTTTCCGCATATCCGTTTCCGATTCCATGCAAGATAGGTCAAGACCCAAAAAATTGAAAAAAGTAAATCAAAAGAGTTTTTTTTTCCACAAAACAAAAAGAGTTTAATACACATAATGTCATGTCGATATTAAACATTCTTGTTTCTTGAATACAATTACAAACGAAGAGAAATCACATCGACGAAAATCTTCTTTTTACGTATAAAAAACACTAGCAATTTAGAGAAATCATATTGTATTCATCAAAATCATTAATAATACGTGCGTACAATTTATCATTCATTTGTTCTGTTTACTTTTTGTAATTCATTCTAATTTTGGATCAATCAAACAAAAGTAACTATCCAATTCATTTTTCACTCAGGATATTGCATCCACCTTTATAAATAGTTTGTAGGGTGATTGGTTTATCTGCAACAGTTGGCAAACGACATGTTTATAGGCGTTTTGTGGTTTTTACATGAATTGAAAGTTAGATATCGTTTTACAAAGCGAGATCTCTTCCATTTTTTCGAATGGAAAATCGGCGATTGGTTGTTGAGGCTCATATGAAGTTTTTTTTTTTGTTTTTTGTCACAATGGCTAAAACTTAGCATGCACCATTAATTGGATGCCCATAAAAGTAGAGCACACATTTTAAATAAACAAATGAAATATTCTAATTTGTAAAGCATCCCATTCGCATCTCTATTACCATTCTTTAAAACTATATATACAAAAGAAACAAAGCATTTATTCGATGCCTTCTATTATGTGATTAGACTCGTCAACAGAATAAGTTAAAAGCATCAAGTCTCTCTCTATATATACTCATTCAACAAGTTCGAACACATACATACACGTATAAAATTACATAAAGCTATATTTATAATAATTGTAATATAATGAGGTTTGATATGCAATTATTGAAGGCTGTTCTTATGATGTCAGTGATCAACTTTGCGATAGCAATTGAAAACGTTTTATTCAAGAAAATGCTTGACGATGGAGTTAACCGTATGGTTGCCACTACGTACCGACTTATCGTCGGGACTTTGTTCTTAACACCTTTTGCCACTTTTCTAGAAAGGTATGCACATGTATACATATATGGATGTTCAACCAACTTTGATCATGTACTCTATAAATAAAAATGTATAAAGATTGATAATTCGAGCAAAAGATACAGAAATATATCTCCACATCGATCGTAGAGCTATTTCCTTCAAATGCATCTGTCTCATGTCTCTTTCTAGCTACATATGAATCTAGATCTCGTTGAATTTGGGATTTTTTTATACGATATGAAATTAACTATATACGAGCTTTAGAGGGGATGTCAATTCGGCTCGGGTATAAACTGCCTTCCATGGGACGGGTTGGGATTATAAATTTAGAAATCTAAAGAATTGCACTTTGCGGGTTAATCCACTATACGTAGCGTTAGGTGGTGGTCTTAAAAGGGCTAAACCGATTGCAAATGAATGAAGTGATATTTGTCACTTGTATAATGGTTTATGTCCGTTCTCTCTTTCAATCTGAGTTTGCTAACCAAAAATGTGTGAGTAGATTGTTCAAGAGTAACACGATATGATTGCATTACAAAATACATATGTTCAATTTGCTATAACCGGAACTTATGTATTAAAAATATGTCTATTATTCAATTTATTCTCAAGATGTATTTTGATAATTTTTATCATCATCATCATCCCGCTTAAATATATTAAAATCAATTATATTCATTTAATAAAGTAAAAACATTTATTGGATATCCTATAACAAAAGATTATGAATCGGGTTTACTGCAGAAAGAATAGACCGCAACTGACGGGCAATATATTGTGTTTACTTTTCTTAAGTGCTCTCTTGGGGTAAGCTTCTTGACAAAGCTTCAAATATAAATTTCCTGTATTACTAACTAGGAAATATATCTCAACAAATGTAAACATTGTCCAAGCTTATTTCATTCTTTTGGACATTTCTCATTTTCACTCTTCATTTGCAGGACAAGTTTAGGCCAATATTTCTTTCTTATTGGATTACAATATACATCTTCAAATTTTGCGCTAGCGTTTAGCAACATGGTTCCCGCGGTCACGTTTGTGTTGGCTCTCGTCCTTAGGTGATTAAAAAAATTTAAATCAATCATTTCTCTCATCTCCTACTGCTTATATCATGAATTCAAACCTACTATACATTTATACTTAGGCAGGAGATGATTAATATCAAGAACATTGTAGGAAAAGCCAAGGTGATTGGTACAATTATCTCCATATGCGGAGCTTTGGTGTTGACAATCTACAAAGGAACTCCTTTAATTGAAAACTCTGGAACTCAAATGCAAATGAAAAATCTTTCAGCTAGTACACATAATTGGGCAGTAGGATCTGTAATGCTAATCATATCGGTCGCCTTTTGGTCATCATGGTTTATCATTCAAGCAAAAATAAACCGGAAATATTCGTGCCAATATACGAGCACCGTGATTCTCTCCTTTTTTGGTGTGATCCAATCTGCTCTATTGAGTTTGATCTCAGAGAGAAGCACATCCATGTGGGTTGTCAAAACAAAGTTCAACATTTTATCTATAACTTATGCAGTGAGTACTCTAAATCCTAGTTCTTTATGATCTTTTTTCACATTTTCTAGGGGTGTTAAAAAAAAAAACAAAATCGACCTAAACCAAACCAAAAATATAGTAATTAGTTGCTGTCCTTATAGAGTTAGATTTAAGGTTATAGCACCAAGCCCCCAAAGATATCTTATCAATTAAATAATGGACTATG